GCATAAGCATGTTTGAACTCCAGCATATTATACTGGAGTTCCAGGATAAGTATGCTGGAACTCCAACATAATATGATGGAGTTCCAGCAAGTATAATTGTCCAGTATAAAATACTGGAGTTTGGAGCACCGATGCTCCAGTCTCCAGTATATTATACTGGAGTCAACAAAATATACCGGTCCAGCATAATATGCTGGAGTTCATACACAGGTGCACCGAACTCCAGTATATTATGCTGGACCGATCTCTGTTGCAGCAAAATAGTGACTATTTTTTATTGACTTCGTAAATACTGGCTATTTTTGAATGATCAATCCGAAAACTGGCTATACCGTGCTATTTTTACGATATTGCAAAACTGTAACAGTGCAAGACATGGGCTTGAACGAAAGTATTGCTTGCACATGGACCTCAGCTTCATGAGCCTGTTCAGATGTTAAGCCCTTTCAACTTCGTGATTTTTTCTGGGATCATCCGATCTGAAAGCCCATTTTGGCTAATCACACTTGATTCCACCACCTATAAAGAAGTACGATCATTTTAATGTTCGGACTAATCCCAGCATTTTTTTCCAAGGGATATATTATATTATAATATAGGCGAAATACATAGAATACCATCTGACCTTGTCCCCAAATCTCTGTTATACACCTGTTGATTACGAGAATAATTTTACACACCCAACCTTTAAAAAATATATCTATGACACACTATTTTGACTACGTGGCAAGCGCGTATTTTACACGCAAATGAGGCACGTGAACTGTAAATTTTTTGTATCTAAAGCCACATTTGGATGCCACTTGTTCAGTTTTTTTACTTTTTCATTTTTTTCCATTTTTAGTCATCTTCTTCATTTTTATGAATCAAGTTTCAGCCAGTTCCTCCACTGATGCTTATAAAGAACACTTCCAATAACTTCAACAGCTCCTCCTCTAACTCATGATCCTGAATCTCACCTCAAATCCATTATAAAGCGTTTTTTTCTCAAATATTGCCCTTCAACCTTGCTTCAACCCTAGCCTGCTGCAATCTTAGACCCCTTACCCTTCTTCCGTACCTATCTCTGCCCTTTGCTTCTTTTTTGGTGGGGGGTTTTGTTTTTCCAACATAAAATCGTCTCGAGATTTTTTGTTTTCACCCGTTCTCATCCGCGTTGTTTCTACAAATTACGCAAGACCTAAAAATTGATTATTTGAAATGGTTGTTGTTTGTTAAAATTGGTGTTTGGGGATTGAATTAATTGTATATTAAAAGCTCCATTTCAATTGAAACTTATTTAGAGATGAATTAAGTAGTTGGATCGAAATTTGTTTAAGAAGGCCGAAGAAGAGTACTTTGAATTTTTGAGTTGGGTTAAACTTAAAGAAATCTAAGGTTGATGTTGAAAACTTTGGTTGTTGATTTGTATTCATGTTCTCTGATCTTAAAACTGAGATGAAGGTTGTAGCAGCCATGATGGATGGTTTTCATATGAGGAAGAAGATGGATTTCTTTTTCTTTTTTCTTTTAACTTCATGACACGTGTCACGATTTAATTGGTGCGTTACATATATCTATTTAAAAGAAGTGGTCAAATACAAAAGTGTTGTGTCATGGATACATTTTTTAAAGGTTGAGTGTATAAAATTATTAACGTAGTCCACGGGTGTGTAACAGGAATTTGGAGACAAGCTCAGGTGGTAATTTATGTATTTCGCCTATAATATATATTAAAGATTAATCGTTACTCAGAATTGACTACAAAAGATTAGAAACCTCGACTAGCAATTCTTGAGAGATACCTCGTTCTACGGAAATAAGCAACATACTACTAGCGGGGTGGATTTATATGATAATTTATAGGTCACGTGAACCCATGGTCTCTCCACCAAACTAAGTATTTCGTAAAAATAGCACAAGCTAGCCAGTTTTCGGACTGGTCATTTAAAAATAGTCATCGTTTGCAAAATCATTGAAAAATAGCCACTATTTTGCTGCAATACGAAAAGTTCCAGTATAATATACTGGAGATCGGTGCACATGTGTATGAACATCCAGCATATTATGCTGGAACTCCAATAAGCGGAAAGTTTCAGTATAATATACTGGAGATTGGAGCGCCAGTGCTCCACTTTCCAGTATATTATGCGGGACCGGTATATTATACGAAAACTCCAGTGTATTATACTGGAATTCCAGTATATTATACTGGAGTATTTTTTCGGATTGTACAATATTTTTGTTCAGATTTATCCTTACATGAAAAATGGCTAAATTCGATTATTTGAAACTGTGACTATTTTTGAATGGCCACTTGTAAATTTGGCTATTTTTGAATTTCTCCCAAATATTTTATGTATGTGTTTTTTTTTGTAAAGATAGCACGGGCTAACCACTTTTCTGACCGGTAATTGAAAAATAACCTGTATTTGTAAAGTCGGTGAAAAATAGTCACTATTTCGCCGAAACACAGAAAATTCCAACATAATATACTGGATTTGGTGCACCCGTGTATGAACTTCCAGCATATTATGCTGGAACTCCAACACGCGGAAAGTTCCAGCATAATATACTGGAGAGTGGAGCACATGTGTATGAACTTCCAGCATATTATGCTGGAACTCCAACACGCGGAAAGTTCCAGCATAATATACTGGAGAGTGGAGCACATGTGTATGAACTTCCAGCATATTATGCTCGACCGGTATATTATACTGGACTTCCAATATATTATGCTGGAATATTTTTCGGATTTTGAACCGTATTTTTGTTCATATTTATCTTTACATGAAAAGTGACTAAATTTCGATTACTTTTGAAACTATGACTATTTTTTAATGACCACTTGTAAATCAGGCTAATTTTGAATTTCTCCCTAAAATTATGTAATGACCCAAGCCCAATGCTCGTTGTCCGTTTTGGGCCTCGGCCTGCACGATTTTATCTTTTTGGGGTATGCTACTTCGAGTCCTAAAAGCGCGCGTACCATATGAACTTGTGTTATGTCTTATAAAGTTTTTCACTTTCCTCTGTTATTCTGATATGGAATTTGCCTAAGACATGCGTATTCAGAAGTTTGTCAGCCTAGGAGTTTGCCTGTACAACGAAATTGGGATTAGAGTTACCCTCATGGTCGAAAACCCACTAAAGCCTTTCTCTCTTTTTTCTTAAAGATTCATCTGAAAAAGAAGAAGATGAAATAAAAGTATAACTAGAAAAACCTTCCCACAAGTGCTCTGTTAGTGTTTTCTTTACTAACGAATAAATAAATTTTTAATGAATTAAGAAGGCACGTTCTTGGCTTATACTCTTCCTTAATTAACTACTATATTTCGCTAGAAATCTATAGCAAATTATTAATCATTCCCTCACTGCTAGCATTCCTTTTCCCAAAACTCGTAAAAATCTTCCTACAATCTCATCATTCTTTCAAGTATCCGACAAAATCTTTTTCCAACTCTTCACATGAAATAATTCAAAAGAATATGTAGAAGTAGTCTAATATCTAGCACAATAGCTAACATATACTCACTACATATAATAATAAATATACCATAATACAGAAATAATGTAAAAATAAATTATTTTAAAGAGTAAGAGTTTGTTGCATCAAGTTGGGCCAGTTGGTGTTGGCGACGCGTTTGTCTCAATTACATTACCAATCAAACAGCTATTTGATTGGAACGCAGACAAAATGCATGCAGCAGCTTTTCTAATGGATTAGACAATCGTATGATTGATTGATTGATTTCTGTTGTCCATTTCCCCCAATTGAACTTAGTGCATGACTCCAGTAAATGTTTTTTCACATCTCTATATGTTTAACCTCACCATGTCACCGCATATTTGCACTTCTGTCGGAATCCAACAACATGCGACAACTCACATGTTTGATTCATATCTTCATGGGATAAATTACTCATGAAATGAAATACTCTTGACAGACAAAAAACGATTTACAAATCATTAACCTGTCTCAAATCTCCTCTCGCCTTCAAAGTGCATTTGGTATTAGTTTTATATTTTATAAAAGAGCAGGGGTCGTTTGATATAATGGTGGGATAAAATCAGCATATTCCATGAGGTTAGGGGCGTATGCACCTCATGCCATGTTGTGTCACGGGACACTGCTTGATCGAAATTTTTTACTAGATATTATAAGAAAAATGAAAATGTAAGGGATACGTATAGTAAATGACATCACTTATCATAATAATGATTTATTCATTTGTCTGTTTCTATAAATTATGATAATGCTTATGTAAAATTCTGCGTACGCCACTGCATGAAGTGGGATATCTCATGAGATTAACTATCCCACCTGCTATATGGGATAGCTAAGCGCATCATTTTAGCGTTAAATTTATCCTGAAATTAGCTAATATCTATAATAAAACATGAGATAAATATAATTTTAAATTTTTTTCCGAAATTATTATTCTTATTCCTTCTACCAAACGACAGTATACATACTTTGTAAGTTGCACACACATTGGCCATTGCACGGGAAACCTGTTAAGTACCTTTCATCAGTACGCGTATAGAATAAAAAATTACCTATTTTTTCTGTCAAATTTGAATTCCGATCTCCACAATTTTCACCCACTACGTAATGTTAGGCCACACTTTGGGTGCAGTGGTCATAACATAAACAATTTACAAACTAAACTTCTAAGTTACTATCAAACGAGAATCTCGAACCGAACTCATGACCCCAGCAGTCAATGGGACCAATCTCAAACCTAAAAAAGAAACAGAACAAAGTACATGAAAATATCAATAAATGTTACTCCTAATTAATATTTTCACCGAACAATAAAAAAACCTAATACTCCCACTTGAACTCATTTGGACCACGAGGATTCTTTCTAAACATGTCAATATCGCACATGAACTTTCTAATCAATGTCCACAATTCTCACTCAATTGTATCTTAACATCAACTATTTAATTGGATTTTTTGGAAGATATATCCAGCTTGCAACAACTAAGCACAAGGTTTTCATATTTTCTTCTCTATCTTTCAATCCATAAATAGCCCATCTATTGCCCCACATTTCCATAATTAAACAAGAAAAAATATGGATTTCTTTCATCATAATAAAACCTTCCTATTATCACAGTTCTTGATTTTCTGCATGATAGTTGTCGTTTCATGTCGAGGTCCAGTCTATAAGCCTCCAGAAGTAGAGAAATTAACTGATCATTTCAGCCGATTATCGGTTAATCAAGGTTATAATGTATTCTTTGGAGGTGCTAATGTTCGTATGACAAACAATGGGTCCAGTGCTGATCTTATCTTAGATAAATCTTCAGGTACACTACAACTTCATTGTACAAAAAAATGTTTTTGCTTAAGTTAATATATAGTTGTTGAAGTATTTACAACAATTTCCTTTTTGTCCATAGGTTCTGGACTGATCTCTAAGGAGAAATACTACTATGGTTTCTTCAATGCTGCTCTAAAACTGCCTGCTCATTTTACATCCGGAGTTGTAATTGCCTTTTATGTAAGTTTTCATGCACGTCTTGTAACTAATCTCTGTATAACTAATACGTACTAAGCTCTAAATGCGTTATGTAGAGTACGATATAGAAATCAAGAATTTTCTCTTTCGTTGATCATCAGGGCTAATTAAGGCAAGAATTTTTATTTTATTTTTTCCAATTTTCAGATGTCTAATTCAGATGTGTTCCCACACAACCATGATGAAATTGACTTTGAGTTGCTTGGGCATGATAAGAGAAGAGATTGGGTTCTGCAGACTAATCTATATGGAAATGGAAGTGTTCACACAGGGAGAGAAGAGAAGTTTTACCTCTGGTTTGATCCAACACTGGATTTTCATGACTACACCATCCTCTGGAATAATCATCACATAGTGTAAGCGCATTGAGATAATCTAACTACTTCCTCGGTTTCTTTTTATATGATGATGTTTGATTAGATATGGAGTTAAAAAAAAACAATATTGGCGCATACTAAATGTATCCTTAGAATTTGTCGTCTTAAACATGTCATGATATTTCTATGACTATAAAAGCCGAAACACTTAAAGAATTTCTAAATATAAAAACTATGTGATTCTTTTTGGAACAAACTAAAAAAAAAAAAGGTAACGTACAACCATGGGCAAAGCTACCTTTAGTAAAGGGTGGTCAACTGACAACCCTTCGCAGAAAAATTACGAAATATTACATTGTGTATATAAATAAAATATTAATTTTAGATATATAAAACTTATATTGAACACCCTTTGTCGGAATTTTTTTTACTTCTTTTAAATTTGAATACCTTTGGAAACATTTCTGGCTTCGCCACGGCGTACAACATAAATAAAGGGAGTACTATTTTTTACTTTAGCCTTAATCGGCCACCACACGAGATAGGAATTAATTTCTAAAATTCTGTGTTAGGTCCATACATTCAATTCCCCTTGAGGTACAACAAGAGAATTTTCCACCTATTAACCCTAGTCAGCAACAAATCCTTATTATTCAATAGGTTTTTCATGAGGTTAATCCAACGCATGTTTTTACCTACAAATGTTGATTTTTTTTTTCTCAAAATGGAACTTCTGATGGGATAGAGCTATACGATTGATAGCAAGTTCAGAACTCATAAACTTCAATCCTGACTCCCCCTCTGTCCCTAGCTATTGGAAAAATATATCTTAGTTCCTTTATTTCTATTCTTTTTTGTGGTAAAAATTAAAGTATCACAGTTTATTGTAAATATAATGCAGATTTCTTGTGGACAATGTGCCAATAAGAGAGGTAGTTCATAACACAGCTATATCTTCTGTTTACCCATCAAAGCCAATGTCTGTTATAGCAACAATATGGGATGGATCAGAATGGGCAACTCATGGAGGAAAATACCCTGTAAACTACCAATATGCACCATTTGTAACATCAATGAAAGAAGTAGAATTAGAAGGATGTGTAAGACAACAAAATACTTCAGCAACTTCTACATGTTTTAGGAGAAGTACTTCAAGTTTGGATCCTGTTGATGGGGAAGAATTTATGAAATTATCACAACAGCAGATGACAGGGCTGGATTGGGTAAGGAGAAAGCACATGTTCTACTCATATTGTCAAGATACTAATAGATACAAAGTTCTACCACCAGAGTGCACTTCTAATTAATTTATTTGTAACTAATAAATCTTGATTCTTTGTCTCTAATTATAAAAAGGAGATGGACAGTGATCACGCTCAACTAAGCCTATTAAAAGACTACGCGAATATTGCAAATATAATCCAGGGTATTATGCCCCGAGTTAAATCCCACAGGGAATTAACGTATCAAGAGAAGTCTTTGAAGTACTAAATTCTTATTAGTCAACCTCCTCAAACTTTGTGAATACAAGTGGTGTTATAATTACTACGACAGCTATTCGAACCAATAAAACAAAGGTTAATTAATACGCAAATGTAGACAATTGGAATAAAGGCCTAAGGTAATGGCTTCCCCCGTTATAGATTTCCTTAGTCGTATATTTCTTATAGCTATGAATTAGTTATCTCTATCAATCATGAACTCTCCAACTATCATAACTCTCTCTCAAGTAATTATGATAATTTACTAGACGCACTCTCTCAAGCTACGCTAGCTAGATTCGCATTACAATTCACTTAGATTGCACCCGAGGTATCATTATCTCTACTCCAACCTCTAAATCCTTGGTTATGACTTCGCCTATACTCCGAGAGTGATGTTGTTCAAACAATTACCTAAATATGCACTCTTTCTCAAGTAGATACATAATAAATAGGCATGGCTAATTGAGGATCCTTTCAACTAACCAAATATCAAAACATAGTTGAACAAATAGAGATTAACAACTAACTCAAAACTATATTAATATCACAATAAGTTCATCCACAACGGGTTCAACCAAAACCTTAGATTAAAAGCGTTAGCTACTCATAACAATGATAAACATCATAATAAATAACTTCATTACAAATCATAAAAACAAAAGGAAGAGGAGAAGAACTTGGTGTAGAAAACTCCTCTTAGCTCCTTGCCTTTCCTATTCTTGTTCTTAGCTAATAAAAGCTGCAGACTTCTATTTTTGGGCGAACTTGACCTTCTATAGGTTAAGTGATTTGCCCCCCAGACTTCTAAAATTACCCCTGACGATTTTGTTCCGGAATCTGGACTAGCGCGATCACGCATGTGGGCGCGCTAGTCCAGGTCTCATTTGTTTGGTTATTTTATTCTCGTCTTCTCGCTCATTCAGCTCCTAGAGATCTTTCTTGCTTCAATGTAGCTCCAATCACAACTTTAAGGCCTCATACAAGCTCTTCATTCCTGCAACACAATTTAGAGCTCATTTTTTATCATTTAATTATAGTAGAGCATTGAAACATAATCAAGTTAGGGCAAAAATCATTGTCAAATAACATATATCTAGCCTAATATCAACACCCCACACTTAAATCCTTTCTAGTCCTCTAGCAATCCACCACCCTTAATAGAGGTTCCTTCACTAAGCATTCTTCCCTAACGCATTACACCAAGAACAAATCACATGAGTTACACCTAGGAGTGAGCAATCATATCCTCAAAAGTTGACTCTCACGTGCCGTGCAATATTCATACTTTCTCAAGCTACTCTATACCGAAGTTAAGACTTGCCTTTCCTTCATGAATAACATGCCCTCACATTCACACAAGAGAGTAGTTCCACATATAATAATATTTAGAACAATTGGGAACTTAAATAAATGAAATTCACTCACTCTCAAGAAAAGAACATTCACATGTCACAAAGATGCACCATAAGCTTGCCCGTAGCGTACTACTCTACTAATTGAGCCACTCAGTCTAAGATCGATAGGACTTTACTTGGTTGTAATGTAGGCTAAGGGACGGGAAGGATACATTTGGATATAGTGACTAACCTCCCTAAGCACTTTTAGTACAATTACATCAACATTCAAAACCAAACTCTTTGTCAACCAAACATTTTACCACCGTTCTTTTGTTTACAACAGCCCCATTCATTAGGTGCAATTATAGCAAACCACCACTTCTCAACCACTATATTAATCTTTTTTTTTTTGTGTTGCTTCATCTTTTATGCAACAGAATTCTACACCTATTTTTCGATTTCTGTGGTTCCACTCAAAAACCAAACCACCACCCCACACTTTTGTCTTTGCATAATTTTCAATACCATTCAAGTGCTTATGTGAGGAAAGAGGGTTCAAACAGCAGGTTATTCAAACAATTGGGTAAGGTTCGCAATGTGGTTGCCAAAGAAATAGGCTTATAAGCACAACGAGGTTAACTAAGATGTATTGCAGTTAGGTGGGTTTAATTTATAAGTCTGTCTCAATAAAGATTTGCCTATATCACTTCTAAGACTAAATAAACTACTATTTCGCGTTGCAAACACACAGGGCAAGTTCTAGGCATCAAATGTGAATCATGGAATACAGTAAAACTCACACATATAGCATATGACTCATTCCGGATTGGCTTATCAAGACACTCTTTTCTGAGTATTCAAGTCAGTGACAAATACACAGTTTAAGGCACTTTAGCAAGAATCAACTACTGAGAATAGGCGTTACACTCTAGTGTCTATTGTGTTAAGGTGTAATAGAGCTAAAGGCTTTTCTTTTCGAACTCCGTTCATTAGCCCATTAATCCTAATTTTAAAAACCAAGGGGGAGTTACTACACTACCTAAAAAGAAAATAAATAAAAAATCTTTTTGGAATTTTCTCTAGACTAACTTCCCTCAAGAAAATTATCTAAAGGATCCGTCATCAGGAAGAGTCTGCATTTTCGTTGGTTTTTTATAGGCTCGACTTAGTCCCAGCTATTTAACTACTTTAAACTAATACCAAAACTAAATCACAACCAAAACAAAATAAAATCAACCAAAATCAAATAGTCAAATAACAACTACATATGTACAATGAAGCATCCCCCACCCCACACTTATAATCAAGACATGTCCCCATGGCTGTAAAATTTTTAAAGAATAGTGAGGTCGAGGTACTTCCCTGAAGGTTACTCCTGGTCGGAGACGGTTTCTGGGCTCACATTGCATGTGCGACCCAGAGCTCTTAACCAGCCCAAGAACTTCTTTTCAGACTTCACTTGTCTGTCAGCAACCACCTCCACTCGGGCACATAAATCTGTGACTGAAGTACGTAACCCAGCCATATCTTGTTCCAAAGCGGTCAGGTGTGTGCTCCTCCGTGGCTGTGAAGATGTGGATGCCCTAGATGGTGCTGGAGATGCATCCTCGTGCTCTGGGGACTAGTGTTCGGCACTCACATTCTCCTATTCTTCATCCTCATCATCTGAATCGTCAGAGCTACCACTACTTTCCACCTCCGCTGCTGCTGGTTCCTTTCTCGTGGTTACCTTGTCCGCGCGAAACTTCCGGTCCTTTCTTACAAGGCCATCCGCAGCTAGATTTTTGGACATTCGAGCATCCCTACAAAGTTGAGTTACTAAATAAGGGAAGAAGAACACATACCTTTTTACTCGGTTGCGGACGAACATCTCGTCATATATTACTTTTGCCACATCAAAGTTGTGCCCATTGACGAAGCACCAAATCAAAGCGGCTCTGGGCCCATTCATGTCAGTAGTATTGTGGGATGGAATCAAACGGTTGTTGATTAGGTACAACCAGCATTTTGCTTTAGAGGTGAGTGCGGAGGAGTGGAACTTCTCACCATATCGCATCCAAACCACTTCTTTTCCCGGTGCACAGATAGTTTCAATGGATTGCTTCCACTTTTCCTGTGTTGGGTTGCGGCCATATTCATAGAAGTCATCATAATCAATCACAGGTGGTGGTAGTTGGTATGCCGCCCTTATTTCCTCAACAGAGGTATTCACCGCTTTGCCCCGTACTGTGACGATGCCATTGTGATGCTCAGGCGCGTTGGCGTAATATTCCCTTACAACCATAACATTGCCGTCACTGGGCTCATTAATGAAAGTTTGGAGCCCACGTCTCATAAGCTCTTCATACAAGTGAGGGCAATTTCGCTGGAGTAATCGGACTTCAATGCCCTTTTCAGGAATTGGCTTCTTAGAAGCCTTCTCAGCAAAGCGGTCCTGGGCTTTAGCTGAGACAAATTTTGTATCATCAAAAGGGCGTGCAGGTGCAGCCCCTCACAACCTGGAGGTTTGTCTGCTAGTTGATGGACCGGTGGTGCGGCGTTTCTTTGATGGAGCCATGGTACCTGCAAATCAGGAACAAATAAGTACCTCCCAACACCAAAAAGTGTGACACACTGTGGTTACTCAGACTTCACGCGCATACGTGGTCACAATTATATAATTTCAGTCATTGAGGCCTTTTTACAAACACCTTATGGGTGTTAGGCACACACAACCCATTCCAAACAATTTGCAACATGAAACCACCACCAAATCTCCCAAATGTCACCAATCAAGTAAACGACACTCTATAATTCGCACAACTCATAAATACTATAATAATTACTACCAATTCTACTATTAATCAAACAAAAATAAAGATAAATATCTAAAAGAAAACATGCTTAAACACACCAAAATTTGCAGGGATTATTTGAAATAAAGAGAAAANGGGAGGGAGTTAGACTAAAGAAAAAATAATTGAAAAATAAAAAAAAATCAGAGCAAAGAACAAACACTCGTGTATCAAAGGCTGAACACTATTAGCGCATGCATATGCGCGATCGCGCTAAATTAGCGCGTCCAAGACATAATGTTTTGCCAAGTTAGCGTGTTCAGATGCGCGATCGCGCTAGTAGCGCGTTTAGATGCACGTTCAGTAGCGTGGCCCAGGCAGAATGTTTGCACCATTTTAGCGCGTTCTTAGCGCGTCCATGAGCGCGCCCATAAGCGTGGTCGCGCTAACTGGGCTTCAAATCCTGAACTTTCACCTGATTTTTTTTTATTTTCGATTGCCTTATCACCCGCCCATTGTTACCTGCATTGGTTAGCATTTTCAAAAACTCACAATTAATTACTACTACGACCATCGGGTTGCCTCCCAACCAGCGCCTTAGTTAATGTCGTGGCACGACGTACATTAAGCTCATTTAAGGCTCGTTCGACCTTTGCGGTTCAACAAGAATTATTACGGACAACTCTTTCGTTTCCTCCATCCCCACATATAGTTTTAGTCGTTGTCGATTAACTTTGAAAGTGTTAGTGCCATCTTCACTGGTTATCTCCACAGCCCAAGACGAAAACACTTCGGTCACCTTGAACGGCCCAGACCATCGGGACTTAAGCTTACCCGGAAACAATCTCAACCTTGAATTGTACAATAATACCTTGTCTCCAGGTTTGAAATTTCTGTCCACAATGTGTTTGTCATGCAATCTCTTCATCCTCTCCTTGTAGAGTCTCGTGGTTTGAAAGGCGTGATATCTGAATTCCTCCAACTCATGCAACTTTGCCAGTCGAGTTTCTCTAGCTTCATCAGGGTTCATGTTCAATTGCTTTAGTGCCCACCAAGCTCGATGTTCTAGCTCCGCATCTAGGTGACAGGCCTTCCCAAATACCAATTTGTATGGTGACATACCAATAGGTGTTTTGAATGTAGTCATATAGGCCCAAAGTGCGTCGTCATGCTTTTTTTCCCAATCAGTTCTTGTGGCGTTTACAGTTTTAGTGAGCACACTCTTGATCTCACGGTTTGAGACCTCTACTTGCCCGCTTGTTTGAGGGTGATATGGGGTTGATACCTTGTGGTGCACATCATATTTAGCCAACAACTTTTCAAAGGCACGATTGCAAAAGTGCGTGCCCCCATCACTAATGATGGCCCTCGGAGTCCCGAATCGGGTGAATATATTATTCTTCAAGAATCCGACCACCACTCTCAAATCATTGGTGGGGAGTGCTGCAGCTTCCACCCATTTGGATACACAATCCACCGCAACAAGTATGCACTTATTGCCGTAAGAACTGACGAAGGGCCCCGTGAAATCAATTCCCCAAACGTCGAACACCTCAACTTGCTGAATTGGATTCCTGGGCATCTCATGTCTACGGGATATGTTTCCCGTTCTTTGGCATTCATTGCAGCCCTTTACCCATTGGTGAGCATCTTTAAAGATTGTTGGCCAGTAGAACCCTGCCTCTAACACCTTTGCTGTTATCCGAACTCCTCCAAAATGTCCTCCATAAGGTGACGCGTGACAAGCCTACAAAACAGAACATTGTTCTATCTCGGGGACGCATCTCCGGATCATGTTATCAATGCAAATTTTAAACACATGCAGTTCATCCCAGTAATAGTTTCGGCAGTCACGATAAAATCGTTTCTTTTGAACATAGGAGAGTTCATATGGTTCAATGCCGCTGGACAAATAGCTTGCAATATCAGCGTACCATGGCACATCTTCCACACTTGTGGCTAGCAGCTGCTCATCTGGAAAAGTTTCCAGAATATCCTCAGACTCAATTGCATTTTCAGCACCTTCAAGGCGTGACAAATGATCAGTGACTTGGTTCTCCATTCCCTTACGGTCACGAATCTCCAAGCCAACTCTTGCAAAAGCAGCACCCAACGAATTAAGTGCGGCTTAGACTCTTTTCTATCAACAAAATACCTAATGACTGCGTGATCTGTGTACACTATCACCTTCGACCCAATCAAGTAAGACCTGAACTTATCAAAGGCGAACACAACAACCAACATTTCCTTTTCAGTTACCGTGTAATTCAGCTGAGCACCACTCAATGTCCTACTTGCATAGTAAATAGGGTGCATTACCTTATCCTTGTGCTGTACCAACACGGCTCCCACAGCATAGTCACTAGCATCACACATGAGTTTAAAAGGTTGCTCCCAGTCGGGAGCAACTACAATCGGTGTTGTGACTAGCTGCTTCTTCAGTTCCTCAAAAGCTACCCTGCAATCATCAGAAAACAGAAATGGGCTATCTTTTTCGAGCAACTTACAGAGCGGATTTGCGATCTTGGAAAAAACCTTGATGAATCGTCGGTAGAAGTCGGTGTGTCCTAGAAAGCTACAAATAGCCTTGACTGATGTTGGAGGTGGAAGTTTTTCTATCACGTCGACTTTGGCTCTGTCTACCTCAATCCCTTTACTCGATACTAAGTGCCCCAAGACAATTCCTTCTTGTACCATAAAATGGCACTTCTCCCAATTTAGCACTAGATTCGTCTCGATGCACCTTTTTAGAACACAGGTTAAATTTGCTAGGCATTCATCAAACGAATTTCTCACCACTGATAAATCGTCCATGAAGACCTCCATAATGTCCTCCACCATGTTTGTAAAAATGACCATCATGCACTGTTGGAATGTTGCAGGTGCGTTACAAAGGCCAAATGGCATTCTCCTAAAGGCAAACACTCCATAAGGGCAAGTGAATAAAGTCTTTTCCCTATCCTCCGGGGCAATAGAAATCTGGCTGTACCCCGAGTATCCGTCGAGAAAACAGAAGTGTGACCTTCCTACCAATCTATCCAACATTTGACCAATGAAAGGAAGTGGGAAGTGGTCTTTCCGGGTAGCCAAGATCAGCTTCCTATAATCCATACAAATTCTCCATCCTATGACGGTTCTTGTAGGAATCAATTCGTTGTTATCATTCTTAACTACCATCATGCCACCTTTTTTGGGTACACATTGAACTGGGCTAACCCAGCTACTGTCAGAAATTAGGAAAATGATTCCCGCATCTAACCACTGATCACCTCTTTCTTCACTACTTCCTTCATATTGGGGTTCAGCCTTCTTTGGTGTTCTCTGGAAGGTTTGTGTCCTTCTTCTAACAGAATTTTATGCATACAGTATGCGGGGATGATTCCCTTTATGTCTGCCATGGTCCACCTAATAACAGTCTTGCACTCCTTAAGTACCTGCAAGAGTTGTTGAGTCTGCACATCTATCAAACTAGATGAAATAATAACAGGTAATATGGAGTTAGGTCCAAGAAACTCATACCTGAGATGGGTTGGCAATGGCTTTAACTCCAACTTTGGTGGTTCTTCGATTGTTGGCTTGGTTGGAGGGGCTTCTCTGTTCTCCAAGTGCAAAGGCTCAAATTCAGGTGTTCTATCCCAGAACCCTCTACCTTCTAATGCCATTACCCATCCAGCCAGTTCTTCTCCCTTTACCTCATCAAAGTTCATCAGACATGCAGCAAGGGGGTCTTCAATAGTCAGCAGTTCATCATCGGTCTCTACAATTACCTCCACGGCATCTATAAAAGAGCAATTGGCGAATTCACTTGGTCGCCTCATAGATTTCTGCACGTTGAATGTTATTTCTTCATCATTCAACCTCATCTTTAACTCCCTAGTTTCACAATCGATTAAAGCTCTCCCCGTGGCCAGGAATGGTCTTACCAAAATTATGGGAATTCTTCATCTACTTTACAGTCTAAGATTACAAAATCTGCGGGGAACACAAATTTCCCTACCTGAATCAACACATCATCTAGAATACCAGAGGGTCGCTTTACCGTCTTGTCAGCCAGCTGCAACAACATACAGGTGGGTCTATCTCTTCCAATACCCAGCCTTTTATAAATTGCCAGGGGCATAAGATTAATGCTGGCCCCTAGATCACACAGGGCTTTAGCAAAGGCAAAATCACCAATAGTGCATGGGATTGTAAAGCTCCCTAGGTCAGATAGCTTTTCCGCAATTGGTCTAGTCACCACTGCACTACAGGTCTGGGTGAGAGTAACTGTGGCTAAGTCTTGGAAATCAAATTTTCGGGACATTAAGTCCTTCATCATTTTTGCATACCCAGGCATCTCTTTCAAAGCATCAATTAAGGGAATGTTTACCTAGATTTGTTTTAGCATTTCCAAGAACTTCTTGTATTGCTCCTCTTTTTGGTACTTAGCTAGCCTCTGAGGGAAGGGTGCAGGAGGTCTCTTCTTCCCAATCATTTGGGATCGATCTTTATCAGCCGCTACATCAACCACTGGTTCCTGTGCTATTTCAGCTTCTTTCTCGGTCTCAATTTGAATGCTACCTTCTTCCTGGGCAGGTTGGACTGTCACTTCTGTCAGTTTCGTTGATTCATCCAACTCTATGGGCACTGATATAAGTGTCTTAGTTTCCCTGGCTTCTCGAGCTCTTTCTTGCTCTACATCCAAATCCCTGCCATTACGTAAGCTCACTGCCATCAACTTCTTCGGGACTTGATCTTTTGGATTTACCTGGGTATCTGTGGGTAGTGTTCCATGAGGGCGATTGTTTAGAGACATCAAAATTTGGCCCATTTGCATTTCAATATTCTTGATCGTCGAGTCATGTGCATCTACTCTCTCACTAATCTTTGCATTAGACCTAATGACTTGTTGCATCATTGCTTCAAGTATAGCAAACCCATCTTCCTGCCTTCCACTGTACTGCTACTGAGGAGGGTGATACCCTTGCTGTTGATTCTGATTACTGTATCCCTATGGCCTTGGGTAATATGCTATATTGTTGGGGGGTCTCATACCTCCCATGTTTCCACTATTGAACTGTGATTGGGCTGACCTGTATTGCTAACTTTGCTGACTCCAATTCTGACCACCTTGTCTCTGGCCTCCATAATTAGACACATAGTTCATATCTTTAGGGTAGTGCTAATTATCGTGTCCTGCAGGCCACTGATTACCAATTGGATGACTAATGCAAGATATGCACAAGCCCCCATTAGTAGTATCTACAATATGTACTTGCTATTTTTTCCCTGACTCTTCCACCCTTTTGGTGAGTATGCTCATTTGTGTCAATAAAGTGGCCATATTTTCAGCAATTGAATTGGATGGATCTGAAGGCACTGAGTGCACCACTGGAGTGATAGGTGCATTTCTGGTTATCCATCTTGAATTCTGCGCCATCTTGTCAAGCAGACCTTGACCTTCTCTCCATGTTTTACTCAAGAATGCTCCACCCACTGAAGCATCAACAATGTTCTTCATGCTGTCTGACAATCCTATGTAGAACCGCTGTCCCAACATCAAATCTGGAATGCCATGGTGTGGACATATGATCAGCATCCCTTTAAAACGCTCCCATATTTCATGCAATGTTTCCATTGGCCTCTGTTTAAAACTCAAAATGTCATCAATCTGTTGCGCGGTTTTGTTGGGGGGGGGAGGTGGAACCTGTTCACGAATTGCCTGACTAACTCTTCCCAAGTTGTTATGGAATTTATGGGGAGTGAGTTTAACCAGGTCTGGGCAGCTCCGGTCACTGAAAATGGGAACAATAGCAACTTGATTGCTTCTGGAGTTACATTGGGTTGTCTTTGGGTCTTGCAGATTGACAAAAAAAATTTCAAGTGATGTTGAGGATCTTCGACTTGTAACCCCAAAAATAGCCCCTTGTTTTGCAACAAATGCATCATGTTATTAGTGATTTGGAATGATTCAACTTGTATCTGCGGGACTAAAATTGAGGTGGCCAAATTTTCAGCTGTGGGTTGTGCCCAATCATAGAGAACCGCCTCGGGCACAAGAGGTGCCATTGGTGCTATTGATACAGCTGGGTGTTCTTCGTGATCTCCCATTGCTGTTTTGATTGGATCAGTTGTTTGTTGTTGTATGTTTCTCCGGTTGGCCCGGTTCAAGGCCTTGAAAACTTTCTCGGGATTTGAAAATGCTTCAAATACTTCATTAGTTCTCGATGAGTTTCTAGGCATACACATGTGCAACCAAGTCAACAAACGTTAAAAAATTCAATGTAAAAATTGGGTGTAGAGAAAACTAACTACACTAAGAATTTTTTTGTACTTCTTTCAATAACAATTGATAATATCGTTAACTCCCCGGAAACGGCGCCAAAATTTGATCACGCTCAACTAAGCCTATTAAAAGACTACGTAGGCGTTGCAAATATAATCCGGTGTATTATGCCCCGAGTCAAATCCCACAGGGAATTAACGTATCAAGAAAGTCTTTGAAGTACTAAATTCTTATTAACCAACCTCCTCAAATTTTGTGAATACAAGTGGTGTTATAATTACTACGACAGCTATTCGAATCAATAAAACAAAGGTTAATTAATATGCAAATGTAGACAATTGGAATAAAAGCCTAATGTAATGGCTTCCCCCGTTGTAGATTTCCTTAGTCGTATATTTCTTATAGCTATGAATTAGTTATCTCTATCAATCATGAACTCTCCAACTATCATAACTCTCTCTCAAGTAATTATGATAATTTACTAGATGCACTCTCTCAAGCTACGCTAGCTAGATTCGCATTACAATTCACTTAGATTGCACCCGAGGTATCGTTATCTCTACTCCAACCTCTAAACCCTCGGTTATGACTTCGCATATACTTTGGGAGTGATGTTGTTCAAACAATTACCTAAATATGCACTCTTTCTCAAGTAGATACATAATAAAATAGGCATGGTTAATTGAGGATCCTTTCAACTAACCAAATATCAAAACATAGTTGAACAAATAGAGATTAACAACTAACTCAAAACTATATTAATATCACAATAAGTTCATCCACAACGGGTTCAACCAAAACCTTAGATTAAAAGTGTTAGCTACTCATAACAATGATAAACATCATAATAATAAAATTCATTACAAATCATAAAAACAAAAGGACGAGAAGAAGAACTTGATGTAGAAAACTCCTCTTAGCTCCTTGTCTTTCCTATTCTTGTTCTTAGCTAATAAAAGCTGCACACTTCTATTTTTGGGCGAGCTTGACCTTCTATTGGTTAAGTGAATTTGCCCCTAGACTTCCAAAATTACCCTTGACGATTCTGTTCCGGAATCTGGACTAGCGCGATCGCGCATGTGGGCGCGCTACTGGGCACGCTAGTACAGGTTTCATTTGTTTTGTTCTTTTATTCTCGTCTTCTCGCTCATTCAGCTCCTAGGGGTCTTTCTTGCTTCAATCTAGCTCCAATCACAGCTTTAAAGCCTCATACAAGCTCTTCATTCCTGCAACACAATTTAGAGCTTATTTTTTCATCATTTAATTATATTAGAGCATTGAAACATAATCAAATTGGGGCAAAAACCATTGTCAAATGACATATATCCAGCCTAATATCAAACAGCAAGATTGATAGGTTTTCAATGTCATAGCTTTATATTTTGATGATCTAATAAACTTACTATCAAAGAACCAGATAGGTAACCTGACACACTTGGTACACATTGCTAATCAACGGACTCCAGCTAATGTGTACTGCTACAACTTCAGAAGATAGAGAACCAACACAAGGACCTGATCCTTTGTGTTTTCCTGACAACAGTACAAAAAGTCAACTATGTACAGCTGAAAAGTGATTGCCTGTACTGTACACAGAAATAGTACAACACAGTTCTGCAGTCACTTGTCCTTTGACCAACCAAGTGATTACATCATTCAAGTGATGTCATCCAAGTTGTATTAACAAGAGTATCACAACAAAATATCACTTGAACACTTGAGAATTCACTCCAAGCATTCAAGCCATCTGATATTCGAGCATTCAATTCTCAAGTGCATCAAGAACAAAGTGTAACACTGCTATGGACCAGTTCCTATATCTAGTATCTTAATATCCTTAGTTGAGTTGTAACTTTGTAATTGTTCTTCATTGTAACTCCTAATTTGCTTAGCTAAAAGCGTTGCTTAGGAACCCCTTTGTAAAACCATAAACCCTTTTGTGTTTGTGTCGTGACTAGAGTTAGTCATGAGTTGAAGTCTTTGTAATAGGTGTATTGCAAAGTAGCTTGTAATAGGTGTATTACAAGTTAATGAGGGATTAAGAGTTTAATTCCTAGATTGCATAGGTTGTAATCTAAAAGTTGCTCGGTAGTGAAGTTGAAATCCTATCAATGTAGGTCGTGGTTTTTTATCCCTTGAGCAGGGATTTTTCCATGTAAAATTCCCTGTCTTATTTACTTACTGTTTTCATTAACGTTCTCAGTGGAAACTCATAGAGGAACTGGTACACTATAGTTTGGTGAACTCATATAAACTATCTATTGGTATCAGAGCGGGTTTCTCCTATCGGACTAACACCTAGGAAGGATCCTTATGGCTGCTCCATCAAATTTTGAAGAAGGTCAATCGACGTATAGACCACCCAGGTTCAACAAGCAATACTATGGGTGGTGGAAGACGAGAATGCATGATTTTATCATGGCAGAAGACTCTGAGTTGTGGGATGTCATATGTGATGGTCCTTATATCCCAACAAAGAGTGTTAGAGATCTTCCATTGACGACGCCAAAAACCAGGAAAGAATACACCGATGCAGACAGGAAAGCTGTGGAGAAAACTTTTCGTGCCAAGAAAATCTTGGTGTGTGGTGTCACACCTCCTTTTTACCACCCCCGGAAGAGGAGTGTAAGGGTTTTTTTTTTCAATTTAAGTGACAATCGAAATGGGATTTATTTATTTATTCAGAGTCGCCACTTGGGATAATTTATGGTGTCCCAAGTCATCGGTTTCAAATCCCGAATCGAGGAAAGATTGACTCTGTTTACAGTCCGCGAACACAGAAATTCGGGTAAGGAATTCTGTTAACCCGGGAGAAGGTGTTAGGCATTCCCGGGTTCCGTTGTTCTAGCACGGTCGCTCAACTATTATTATTGGCTTATTTATCTGATTTTGAAACACTTTTAAACCTATGTGTATTTTTTAATCCTTTAGCTGCTTTTAATATTTTAGGAAATTTCAAGATTATTTAAAACACATCGTAAGCCACGCTACATGAAATGCACCCGCAGTTCACGATACGTTCTATTTAACCTTGTTGGAAATTAAAATCGGGTCACATGATATTCACACCCCAATTTGGAATTAGGCATCGTAACTATGTCACGGGAACTGTACCCATAATTAAGATGGTTTATTAGTCGCGCCTAAAGCAAGCTACGATGTTTAAGACTTGTCACTAAACTGACTTGAGATGACTTGTAAAGGTCAAAGTTATGGATGTTATTGGAGATCAATGGTATTGCTAAATTATTAAAGATAGCTACAACTTTACAAATTGCTAAAGTTTACATCTTGAAGTCATTTAACGTCATGGGCCTGTTAGCAAGGAATCCGTTTGGCCTATTTGAAGCTAAAGGTTATTTAATTGAAGTCACCTATTAAGAAAGAAAGGAAAAAAGAACTTGCAATAATGAGGGATAAAGCATCATATTAGATAAAATATATTCACTGCCAACAGACAAGTAATTGGCCAAATTCAAACATCTTGAAAGACAAGATCCTGTTGAAATCGATTAAAACCCAGGTTGTGTTAATAAAAATTATTCACTCTAAATCATTAATCTAATGTATTTAATAGCTCATCCTTTTTTTTTATTATGGAAGTTATCTAAATTTAAAGATACAACATAACAATAAAATTAGAATGAAGGACTACGGAAAATAATTGGAATAAGCACAAAGTTCAGACATGTCCACTTAAATGTCCTTTTGAAACTACGCTCAATAGAAGGTTATGTAAAATTAGTAAAGATCGACTCAAAGAATAACTAAACAAAATTCACATATACTGACAATGAGAAATCATGGACGGAGTTAGAGACGAACCCCTAACTATCACTAATTATTTTGCTCTATATTGGCTCATCTAAGCTTTACTCACATAAATAAGATCAAAATAAAGATCATAGGAGTAGAGATGAACCTGTTAATTTGAAATTCTTTTAATAATAGTAGAGGAATTTTACTCCAAAATTCCAACTGAAATCAGCAACAATATCGAGCAGAAACCGCGAGCTAAATCAAAACCACGAACCTCGAATGGAACATTGAATCGGCCTTCAGCAGAAAAAAGCGAAGAACAGAGAGCAAATGTCCTTGCTTTGGAATCGAAAAATGGGAAAGGAGCAGCCGATCTATTTTTCTTTTAGCTTGTCCTTCAATTGAGAAATATAGGTGAAAGATATATTTTCATGGCTGCAGGTGAAAACTTCCCAATTCAGAGGGGAGAGGCGCTAGGTTGTAGCTCTTTTGCAAATGGGATATGCCGTTTTTTTTTTGGGTCCTCTTTGTGTGTGAGTGTCTATGTATATAAAATTTTCAACCAATGAATGGGGCCTTGGAGAACAAGAAAACCAACATTAAAAATGTGTGGGCCCCTCCAAAGGAAGATGCCAAAATTAATAAAATGATCAAAAGGAATCAATCTGTTAGGTGAGCACGTGAATTTTGGAGGAAAGAGGGGGAAATGGGCCCACTTTTCTTTCTTATTTTTGCCTTTCACGTTTTTTTTTGCTTTTTCTTTTCTTCTTTTGGTTTTGTTTGTTTTTTTCTTTCTTTTAAGGATTAACTTAAAATATAATTACACAAATTACTAATTATCTAGGACAATAAGTGATATTTAAAGAGAAATTAGAAAAAATCTAAATTCTACCTAGAATTTACTAAATACTTATAACTTAAAATCACACTAAACAAAGTAAAATATTTTTTGAAACTTTTCTTTTTATCTTTTATAAAAATAAAATAAAACTAACTAGACTAAATATCAAATAAGCTAAGACAAACAAAAATATTTTGGTAGTTTTAAATTTTTAAGATAAAATAAAGGAAAAGGTTTTAAAATAGTTAAAATAGTACCGTTAGACCTAAAACTAATATCTAACTATTAAAAGTTATAAAATTTCAGGAAGGGTCAAAATTACATGTTTACATGTAGCATAGAACCTGACGAGTGCAATAGGATCTCAGCTTGTCAAACCGCCAAGGAGATATAGGAAGCTTTGCAAACAGCACATGAGGGAACCACTCAAGTAAAGCAATCTAAGATCGATATGCTCACCACTGAGTATGAACTCTTTAGGATGAAGGCCGATGAATCTATTCAAGATATGCACACAGGATTTACTTCCATCATAAATGAGTTACACTCACTTGGTGAAGTCATTCCTATGAACAAGCTAGTGAGCAAGATTTTTAGTATCCTGCCTAGTTCATGGGAGAGTAAAGTGAATGCTATTACTGAAGCAAAGGACTTGCAGGAGCTGACCATGGACGAGCTAGTTGGAAATCTGAAAACCTACTAAATGAAGAGGAAGATAGACAGTAAAAGAAGAGAACCAAAGAAGGAAAAGAACCTAGTACTCAAAGCTGAAAGCAATGACTCAAGTGAGGAGGACAGTGACATGTCTTACTTAACCAAAAGTTTTCAAAAGATGGTTAGAAGAAATGGAGGAATACTGAAAAAGGGCAACTCCAGTAGACCAAAGAAATATGATCTCTGCCATAAGTGTGGAAAGTCGAGGCACTTCATCAAAGATTTCCCTCTCATGAAGCAAGAACACTCCAAATACAACCCTGATAAAGCAGCAAAGAGGAACCCGATTCCTGACAAACACTTCAAAAGGAAGAGATCTGCTGACAATGTGGTGAAGCAAGCTCTTGCAGCATGGGGAGATTACTCCAGTGAGTCTGAAGAAGAAACCGATATAGGTGACAGTTCTATGATGGCAGTTGAAAGTAAAGGAAATGAATATTATTCTATATTTGCTTTGATGGCCCAATCAGACGATGATGAAGAAGATGACAATGATGAGGTAAACTTCAGGGATGTTCAAAGTGTAAGCATGTGATTTTTGCTCTATGAAAGAATTACTCCCAAAAAATTCAAGATAAAATGATTTTCCTTGGTGTGCAATTTTGAGAGTTTTTGTGACATTTTTGGATAATTATTTGTATTTGTCTGTGCATGATTATTTGTTAAATTAATAAAAAATACAAAAATATGTCGCATTTTGCATGTAGGATTTAATTCTACAATTGTTAGTAATTAAGTTTGTTTTACAAAAATTGAAAATTACAAAAATAGGCATCTTTTGCATTTTTAGCATTTAATCTCCAAATGTACAATTTTATGCTTAATTATTACTTAATTGTGCGTTAATTGTTATTGAGAGTTAATTTGCACTTTTATAACTTAATAATGATTTAAGGATTTTTATAATTTAGTTTTAGAAAAAGAAGAAAAAAGAGCAAAAAATATAAAGAGAATCGGAATTGGGCCCTTCTTCAAAATTCAAGCCACAAGCCCAAAGAATACCCAACCTTCCC